TCTCTCCAACACTCCAAAAATCACTTGTCTAGAAAAAGCAGACGCAACAGAGGTTTCTCCAGAGGGTCCCATACAAAGCACCTCCTGGAATACAGATTACCCCACTTTCTCAACATCTCTGCTGCCCTGCACCATAAAGTTAGTCACAAACTGGAGCACCTGAGCCTTGTGCCAGGTTGCTCTTATGTCTGGAGCTGTATAGATCTTTCTACACACATCATCATTCCAAGCTCCCTGATGCAGCTGTGATGAGGAGGCAGCCAGCCTCAGGATAAGAAACATGAGCTGTTGAGAAATCCCTCAGTGTATCACACACCACACTCCATTGGCTCTGTCTATACCATACACCACCTCCTCACCTGCATCTGCACATCCTGCTCCAGCCTGGGAAGGACAATTGCTTAACCTGGGGCTGCAACAGTCTGGTACTGAGGGGACCTGTAGGGCTCTGCTCAATGGTCAAAAGGTCAGGCAAAAATATAAAGCACACAGGAGGGAAGAAAGGGTCAGAAAATCCCTGACTTTCAGGTCTCACAGCTGCCATAGCTATTAATCACCCAAGGAGGAGTGAGGGTTGAAGCTGATGGTATCTACTCAATAGGATATGGATACCAAGCAACAACATCCTCCTTCCCCAAGCCCTTCAGCTTGCACAAGGGTGCTGCTTGCTCATAGACCAAGCTCAGCCAAAGCAAAACCAAATGAATCTGACAGCAGTCTTCAGGATTCCTCTAGTGTCCATGGATTCTCACGCTCAGGAAATACTGCTTAGGGACCATTTTTCCATTAACCTACTATCTACAGCAGTGTAAGAAACTGTACTTGGTTTTCCAACATAAGGAAGACAAGGACACACTGGAGAGAGTCCAGCAATGGGCCACGAGGATGATTAAGGCACTGGAGCATCTGTCATACAAAGAAGGGCTGAAAGAACTGGGACTGTTTAGCATCAAGACAAGAAGGTTTGAGAAGGATGTTATCAGTGTGAATAAAAATCTGTACGGGGGACAGTAAAAAACCATATAGACTGTTCTCAGTGATACCCAGTGAAAGGATGAGGTGCACTAGGCACAAAAAATCCCTTTAAAGGGACACAAATCCCTTTAAAGGACACAACAAAAAACTGTGAGGGTGGCTAAACACTGGAATACATTGTCCAGAACAGTTGTTGTGTCCACCCTTGCACACATTAAAAACCTGACAGACATAGCCAGGCAAGCCAGACTAGCTGATCTCCAAAGGTCCTTTCCAACCCAGTGATTCTGTGATTAAAACCACAGCAGCCTCCTCAACTGCTCCCAACCAGCCCAGCCTCAGGGAATCCATCTGGAACCCCACCACGAAGCCGATACCCTCCCTTTCTCCCTTTGCTGTCTGCTTTTGATAGTTTTTTGGTTTATGCTACCACTTTTGCTCTCTGACAGCAGTATCCTCTCCAGAGCTCCCAGAGACATGCCATTTCTGCCTTGTCCCTACCATGAGCTCCTCCAGTCCTTCTCCAGCTCTGTTTCCATCACTGCCTTGAGCAGGATCCTCCACCATTTTCCTCTAACCCTCCACTCCAGGCTTGAAGCAGCCACAGGAACAGTAAACAAAAGGATGCAAAATGTCTTTATCTCTTTACCTCTCTGTGTCTCTTGCCCTGCATTTACCACATTTTTGGTCTTTCCCTTGATCTTCTGTGATGAATGAACTGAAAACACAGTTTTGCTAGCAAAAGAACACAGAATGTAGCAAAAGCACAGGGCTGGCTGCCTGTGAGGAGACGCAGGTGCTGTTGGTGGAGCAGGTTCTTCACAAGTCAACGACAGCATCAGGAACAGACACTTCTCCTCCTCCTTCATCCCTCAGGAACCAGCACACCACAGACTTGCTGCTCAACCAGCCAAGGGTGGGAGAGCTTCCCCTCCCCGCTGCTTTTCAGACCTTTCTCACTTCCCTCTTCCAGCTCAGGACCAAAACTCAGCAGAGACTTTTGAACGATTGCTGTCAGAGGACATCCCAAGGTTGGTAAATGTGAAGCCCTGTGAATGAGAAAATGCAGCCTTCCTGTCTAAACACAGTACAGGCTTCAGGTCACAAAGACTTCAGAAGAAGGCCACCTCGTTCTGGCAGCTCCCAGCCACCAATGGACCTTGCTGAGAGAAGAAAGGGTGTGTGCTGTGGAGGCAGGCAATGCCATGAGGGACATTCAGTCACTGCTACGGCAGAAAATGCAGCCAGCTCTCCTTCAGGCTCCAGAGAGAGCACAAGTAGTTGTTGGGGAAACTGGGCACAGGGAAATGAGGGCAGGACAGAGGGAAACAGTAACATCTTCCTCTTCAAACAACAATGTGTGATCAAGTTCAGCTGAGGACAGAGCACTGAACCATACTGAGAGCTGCAGGGCCAGGGCCACCCAAAGCCCATGGAGGGGCTGGCTGGTACAGAGAGAAGACTGATGTCCATGGCCCCATCTGAACATGCACTGTGACCACCTCCCTGACGTCAGCTCCGATGTCAATGTGGCTGGGCAGGGACTCGGATCAGAGAACAGAGGAGAGTGTTTTTGTTGTGGTGTCTTTCAATTAGATCAGGTCTCTGAGCAAGCTGCTTACCTGCACTCAAGGGATGAGCTACCTAGAGATAAGGGAAAGGCTACCTGAACAGAGCCATGAGAAACAGACACACACAGAGCTTCCTTCTCACATACCTACTGTGATGTGTGCCAAGCACCTGTGATCCCATGGATTTGGTTAATTAGCTCTCATTTGATGCATTTTTAAATTCTGGCTCATAGTCTTTATTAGGTGCCATCTCTGGAGAAAAGGAAAACATGCCAGAGTGAACACACTCAGCCCTTGCCATTTTTCTTGCCTTCTTTCTGAAGGTTTGTCCAAGAGAAAGGAGGCCAGGCTGTGTGCACAAGTGGTCTCCATCAAAGCTGTCAGTGGTACAGGAGCCAAGGGTGAGAAAGACACATTTGTGGGGCTGTGGGCACTGATCTGAGCATGCTGGAACTTGCTCGGGGAAAGTTCTTAAAGACTTAAGTGGGGAAATCAGAGTTTCTGAGAAGGAGATGACAGAAAAGCAAAGTTATGGTATTTGGAAGCAATAACCCACTGCCTCTGCTGAGCAGTCTTTCACATCTCATGATACATTTTTCCTCAAACAATTCCTAAATTCCTAGGTGTGTAAACATTTAGCAATTTGTGAAACTACAAACACTCACTTATCTCTATAAATGATCTTGTAGGTGGCAAAACTGACAAACAGCAGGACTCCCACATTCTGAAACTAGTGAGAGAACTCCCAAGTGCATCAGCTGCACAGGAAAGTCTGTGTAGCTGTGTAGAAAGTACTCTTGTAGCACTGCATGGGCAACTCCTTCTACTCTCCTGGCTTTCCAGGAAAAATAGTAAGAAACAGGAAGTCAAAGGAAACATCATAGATTTTTTAAATTTATTTGGACAAGAGAAATGAAAAGGCAGTGCCAGATCTGTGGGCAAAATGTCCTTTTGCACAGAATCCTTTGCTCACAGAAAACTGCTCTACTTGCAGCTGGTGGGCAGGTTTCAGTCAAGACTCTGCTTCCTGCCTCTCTGATTCCCTGGAAAGTGTGGATGGAAAACCTGGGATGGGTATTGCCCATAGGCCTTACACATAAGCAAAGCAAGCTGGCTGATTCCTCTTGGGAACCTGGAGGACAAACAAAGGCTGACCTGAGAAATGTGCTGTAAATGGCTTCAGCCCAGTCACCGCAGGGAGATGCTCCCAGATACCACTGCCATGTCCACAGCCTTGGTGTAAGTTTCAAATGACAACAGGACACAGCCAGCAAGGAGAGGAGTCATGGGATCGTGGTGAGTTCTTGCTTTAGTGCATGAGATGCTTCAGAATTCACATGCAGAGACTGTGAAGGCATTCTTCATGGACATATTTTTTACCCTCATGTTGTGTCTTGTTTGCGTGGACAGAAAGCCATAAACACATTCAGGCACAAGCAGTCTCGAGGTGGGAATCCAACTGTCACCCCAGCTGTCAGGGACCTGAAAATGACTGAGGCTGACAGAAATTCTCCATATCCTGACAGAAAGTCCATGGCCTTTGGGTCTCACAACCAACCTTAACCCTGCTGGGGCTCCCTGAGCCATGCCACAGGTATGGCAGCGAGGTGTCTGCAGCTGGCTGGAGAACTGCCGCAACAGAGGCAGAGAAGAGACGGCTCCAGGGAGAACTTAGACAATCTTCCAGTATCTACAGATACAGGGAGGGGACTTTGGACAGGGGCATGGAGTGAAGGGGGAATGGCTTCAAGCTGAAGAAGGGCAGATTTAGATTAGACATTACGAAGAAATTCTCCTTTGCAAGGGTGGTGAGGCCCTAGCACAGGATGCTCAGAAAACCTGTGGCTTCTCCAACCCTGGAAATGTCCAAAGCCAGGTTGGATGGGACTTGGATCAACCTGATGTTGTGGAAGGTGTCCCTGCTCATGGCAGAGTGGGTGTAACGGGATGATCTTCAAGGTCCCTTCCAACTCAACCCATTCTGTGATTTCATAATTCTATACTGAATTACCTCTTCCACAACATAAAGCCACGACATGTTCAGTGAAAGGAAATGAGAAGGAGTGGGAGCGAGTGAGGGAGAGAGGAGGGAGTGGAACTTGCCCAGCATCTGACCCTCATGAGCGACGGACAGGGGCTGCACCACCGCAGCCTCTGACTTCTGCTGCTGTTCAGCGACCGTGAAAACCCAAGCGTCCGGAGCAAGCCCGCAGCTCGTCACGCACCTGAGCTCTGCCTCTCCATGGCTACAGCTACAGGCACCAAACGCTCTGGCTGCCGGAGCGAGACGGGCAAGTGGATTCTTACAGCACCCAGCAGCCTCAGCCCGGGGTGCCGGAACACCTGCCCGGGGCAGGGGCACAGCGATGCCGAGGGCGTCCCAACAGCATCCCCGCGATGGCCCCGTGTGCCCCCGCGGGACATTCCCGGCCCCCGTCCCGCTCCCGGTCCTACCTCCAGCAGCTGGACGTAGCTGGCCGGGAACCAGCCTCGCAGCCCGTCTTCCTTCTGCCCTTCCCACCAGCCGCCGTCTGGCACCTGCAGCACCGTGATCAGCTCACCCGCCGCGAAGCGCAGCCCCTGCCGGTGCCGCTCCCCGGAGAAGGGGTACAGCGCCTGGCAGCGGGTCCCCGACATCCCTCCC